TTGCCCTCTTATTCTCGCTTTCAATATCGACCTAAATGTTTGTCCCTTTTGGGCACTCGACCCCCCCCCCCCCCCCCCCCTTTCTTTCTCCAACTCTCTCTCTCTCTCTCTCACTATCTTTCTCTCCTTATTGACAAGAAAAATAATAATGAGAGCCAGGTGCATTTCCTCCAATCTACATGTACCTAGACCAGTTGTCAAGGTCAAAACTAATCAATTCTTGAAAGAAAAGAAGAAAAAAAACTTACATTATGGCACTGAAAGACCAATGTTTATTGACAATGCTTTCCAAAGTCAATCTTCCTTGAAATCATTTCTGAGCTTTTTCCCTTTTTTTGTTGATGCAGGCAGGACCAGGCATGATAGAAACGAAGTATGACCTTTCACTATCAACTGTGGGCTTTCAAATGAGATTTGTAGGACATAGAAAAATCAATACTGCCAGATTTAAAGCCAGAGGGTACACAAGCCTACCCAGGCACAGGATGAAGCTAGCTGTCTTATAGAGAGAGAGACATTCTTAGGAACATTAAGGAATATGGAATTATAAGTTCTAAACTAAAATGTAACCAAACTTATATTGCCATGTTGAGGTACAGCTCTGATTGTAGATGCAGGCAGTGTGTACCTCTTTCAACTCACATGAATAAGAAATAAGCAGAAAACTTTGTGGATCTAATTTCTGAATTGACAGATTTCAATTATTTATATTTTCCAATGTAGATTATGTTGAGGCCAAACAAACATACCAACTATTTTTAAACGGAAATGTATTATAAACCTAGAAATTGAACAAATGATTTGTCACTAATTTTTCTATCTTTAAAGGGGAAGTTCACCCTGATATTATCTTGGTTTCAATAAAAGAAGAAAATGAGAAAAACAAATTAGTGAAAGCTTGAGAAATACTAGTATCTGATTAAAAATAGGAAAAGTTAGGAATTTTTGAGGTTGTAATCAGTGAAACACCAATTGGCAACACTGTGACATATCTTGCAAACCCCTCTCCAATTTGCTCTGTTCACAAAATTTCATACACTTCAAATTTTTTTTTAGTTATTGATGATGGAACAGACCTGTTTCATACATACCGGTAGGTTTTATACACACAGATTTGCACTAATCATATTTAGGGTGAATCTATGATTTTAGATTTTCTTGAGGGGACATCACCAGATACATCACAGTGTTGCCAATATGTGTTTGATTGATTGATCAGAACTTCAAAATTTCATAACTTTCTTATTCTTAATCCTCTCATTTTTCTGCTTCTATAAAAACCAACTTAATATCAGTGTAGACTTCCCCTTTAACTGTTTTATGTATGTCTTTCAATGATATGTAAAAGGTGTGACCGGAATACAATGCTTTCAGCAATCATATTGAAGATAAGCTATCACTGGAAACTGGCCATTTTCTTCGAAGGAAAAATAGTATTATGATAATATAATGCTGACATTTCGTCCCTATTTTCACGAAGTGACGGTAGTGAGGAAAATCGTAACGCAAAGTGAATGCAATTTTTTTCACTACCGTCACTTCGTGAAAACAGCGATGATTTATGTATCCATCAAGATGGGGCTCATAGGGTGCTTATTATTCCATGATTGTCAACAACAAAAAATCATTTTGTGAGAGCCAGGTTTCAACTCATAACAATGCACAGGGTAAACAGCCTGCAGGCTCTGAACATTTGATACAAATGTAATATTTTATGCAGCTTTCTTACAGAACACTAACTTTGGCATGCAGCAGACTGTGTATAATTTGTTCATCTCCCGAATCCATTCAACAGCGATAAATCTGGATCCTTAGCAAGAGCTTGGGAATCAAGAACGACTTGATGCGCACAGGGTTCAGTGCAGTGCACCTTGTGTAACGAAACCATCAGTACCTCCGATGGCATTTTTAATATGCACACAAAATAACTTATCCTACGTGTGCATGTGGACGTGTATGTGTGGAGAGATATAGGCTTTAACCGTGCAATGAAAAGACAGTCAGGTAGACGATCATGCTAATCAATTTTCTTCCATCCATGCAGTTCTGCTTAAATCTGTGTGGCGATATTCAAGCATACACTTACAGATTATACAGTCTTGGCGAGGAGATTGGAGGCGAGCTTGGCTCTGTATGAATGTGTGTGTGTGTGTGTGTGTGTGTGGGTGGGTGGGTGGGTGCGGGTGGATGCTTGTGTGTAGGGGTGTTAGTATTTATACATACTTCAAATGACTCTTTGTTTAATTATATTAATGTATAAGTAATTAATATTAATATCGAACACATTTATATATTTTATTCAATTGTATGTTTTTGTTTGTATTTCTCATTTAGAGGAATAAAACTAAATTACAAAAACAACAAAAAGCATAGAAGTGTGGGTGGGTGCATGTGTGGGGGTGGGTGGGTGAGGAACGTGTGTGTCTATTTATGTGTTTTTATGTTAAGGGGAGGTTAGCAAGTAAAAAAGCAATAAGTTTTTTCCAATCTTTAAAGTTTCTGCAAGTTACTTGTCTATAACCTTGCAATTTTAAATGAACTGTCCGGAGGCTATAAAGTCGCTTTTGGAAAAAGGGATCATCTAGAAAACAACACAGGCATATATACAGGAATACACAAATATGTGGCAAAATCTGCTGACCAAAGTGATAAACTACTTTAATACTGAAGCATTTCAAGAGCAATGTTACTTGCATACATGTATCATAGCTTCTGTGGTCTTCTGTTTAGACTTAAGAGATAATGCCTGCTTACTTATCTACTTAAATCTTCTTTTTGTTACAAATTTCATGATACAATGATACATTTTTGTGGCAACAGAATATCAGACAAGTAATACTTACTCTCTCATCACTGCTCTGGTTGCCCTAGTTCTGTCTCAATTTTACCCCAAACTTTGTTATATCTTCTGTTACCTAAATTTTGCCTAACTGCTACAGTCAATTAACACTACTCATATATTTCACAAATGACAACCAATCCACGATACTTTGCGGTTCCTTGGACAAGCCACTAACATGTGTTTTTCATTTCTCTCTGTAATTACCCCTTTCTTTTTACTTCTTTTTCCTTGAAAGACAAGAAAGGGCTAAAAAATTTACCTGCAGAGGGCCACAGCATTGAAGCCTTTGGTCGTCCTGTTGTCGATGATGACGACGTCATGCTGCTTCTCCAGAAAGCACTCCAAGGCGTCGGTGGGGTTCCTCACGATGTTGCACTTGTAGCCCCCCTTGTCGGCTGCCCACCAGAACCCATCGCTCTGAGCGTCTTCTTTGGCAAACACCAACATGATCTGAAATGAGCAAAGGCCGAAAGGGTGAACCATTAATGTTTTTTGTTGGTAAAACAGTAACATGATGCCTAAATACACATACCAAACATCATTTTGAAAAATCTTTGTATTTTTTTGACTACCATTTACACTTATCTTATGGAAAAACCCATCAGAAATTGTTGGTGTTTACTGATATATTTCGGTGAGTAGCTGCACAAGCGCTACTTGTCGCTACTCTTTGGTTATTTGTCGTGTTTGCCGGAAGTTGCTTTGTAACTCCCGACGAAGGACTGGAATATGAGAAAAATCAATGAGTTTTGCTTGTAGTGTAAACGAAGCTATATATGATCGGAAAGAAATGATAAGGTAGGTTCAAGATTAATGAGGGTGAAGATAAATTACCAGGCGCTTTCTTCGGCAAACATCAACATGATCTGAAATTAGTGATGTGAAAGGCTGAAACATTGACAAGACGGAGCAATGGGCACCTTCTTGGCAAATATAACATGATATGAACCAGTGTGGAAGGGTCACATATCGTCGCTGTATTAATAATGTTTGAGATACAGTACCAGGCATTTTCTTCGACAAACAACAACATGATTTGACAATTAAATGATTGAGGTAAAAGGGTGAAACATTTATGAATGTTGAGAATAAAGCCATCATCATCTAATCAAGCAAACACAGTGAACAGGGTTGAACATTTAATGATGGTTGAAAAATTGCTCTTGGCATCTTCTTTGGCAAACACGGACATCTGCAGTGTAAAGTGAACAAACTAAAAAGTATAAAGGTAGTTGACTGTTGAATTAAAGCAAATAGACATCCTCTAGCAGTAAATTTTTTTTGTTTAGATAGCATTATGTGAAATGGTCCGAGTTTGAGCAGGATTGGGATAAAGCTTTATGCATGAACATGGATATTAGCAATGTAAAAGGTTTAGATAACAATGACAGTCACGATAAAGCCCAGAGAATTTTCCCAGGCAAACATCCTTGTGGAACACCGGTGTGGCCAACAAAGGTCTACAAACATGTCGCCGTCTGTTTGGTAGTTACTCACATATTAATAAAAAGAGTTAAAGCCATTCTAGCCCTGAACAGACAATGTACATGATGGTTTTAGATGCCATTTTAGTTTAATCATAAAACCTATTTAACAAATATTTACAGTATAAGTGTATGAAGCCTTGCAGAAACAAAAAATTGTATATAATCTAAAATGGTTAAAAGAAATTTACTGTCTATTCAAAACTGATTACATGATTTAAAATTTTAAAAATATGGTACCCTATGGTATATGAGAACAAAATATGCCTACACGCTGTAAATCTGTTCATCATTTGGACATATATGCATCCATTGGGCACAGATCTGACTTCGGTTGAGAATTCAAGAAAACATCAATCTCTTATTAGATGGCAGCCAGATGTTATGAATCATTATTCACTTCGGTCTTGCTCATTCACTCTCTACAGATATTGTAACCACTGTAATGGGAGGTAAATAATCTTGCAATCCATCAACTTAGAAATACATGTTACCAGTAATTCTTTTCTTTTGTGGAATGGGGGTGGTGTAATCGAGAAAAATAATGCGCAATCATTACATCAATGCAGCATCATTTCAATGTAAATAGGACGTTTCGGCAACGTGTTTGCATGGATCTGAAAATGTATTATGAAGAGCAATTACCGATGTTTGGACATTATTGTAGAACAAAAGAGCAAATATTGGTTAATGAGCTTCCTGACCTGATTATGTCAAACCACCATTAGTGAATGAATGAGAATGGGAGAGTGAGGGAGGGAGGGAGGGAGGGAGGGAGGGAGGGAGGGAGGGAGGGAGGGAGGGAGGGAGGGAGGGAGGGAGAGAGGGAGGGAGGGAGGGAGGGAGGGAGAGAGAGAGGGAGCGAGGGAGGGAGGGAGCGAGGGAGGGAGCGAGGGAGGGAGCGAGGGAGGGAGGGAGCGAGGGAGGGAGAGGGAGAGAAAGAGAGAGAGAGAGAGGGGAAACAAATGACTGAGTAAGAAATAGGGTAACATAATGCAGATTAAGAAAATGTCTGATTAGAGAAAAGGAGGATGTTAATTCATATTGTAACACACATCTTGCTGTAATTATATAGCAGACCGTCATAAAAGATATATTGGAAATAAAAATAGGCAAAACTTAACAGGAGAAATAAATGGGGGAAATGGGAGTACAGAAAAGAGCAGGGGATGGAAGTGAAGCAAGGAAAAGAGGGAGAGAGAGAGGGAGGGGGAGAGAGAGAGGGAGGGGGAGAGAGAGAGGGAGGGGGAGAGAGAGAGGGAGGGGGAGAGAGAGAGAGATAGAGAGAGAGAGGGAGGGGGGATAAAAGGAAGAGAAGGGACAGAAGAGGGAGAAGATGAAAGAGAAAGAGAAGCTAGAGAAGAGAAAGTGGAATAGAGTAAGAAGAGAAGAAGAGAGAAAAAGAAAGGAAGGAGAGAGTTGAGGATGAAGGATAGACATGAAGGAGAGAGGGAGAGGGCTCACAAGCGAGAGAAGGGAGAAAGGAGAAAGATGTAGAAAAAGAGAAGAATAAAAGAAGAGAGAGAGAGAGAGAGAAGCAGAAAAGGAAAAAGGGATATAAAAAGGTTGGCGACCCTAGAAAATGAACGTGAGTGGCCATGTAGTCCCAAAAAAGTACATGTTCGTGACCTTCACTTCAATTCACAGCCACATTAGTCAATAGTACATTTAAAAAAATACTTCCTCTTAGATAAATAGAAATCTATCTGGAAATGAGGCCTCAAACAATGGCCCACAGAAAATCTCTCATTCGTATTTTCGGCAGCAGACATATTAAAACGACTGTAGAACAAAACACTTCATCCCACCCAGAGGACATCTTATGATTCATGTCGAAAAATCTTCATATCAAGCGGAAAAGACATATAGATCTTCAAACACTATATGGAGGTTTCTTGGAAAAGCCAATATTATGTGCATTGAAGCTTTTTCTCCAAATCTTTCTATGCATGAGCATCCATATGGAAAGAAAGATTCCTTCTCAGAAGCAATCAAACTTTATGACTATTGTGTTAGTAATTTAAAATGCTGTGGCATACAATTTCAATTCCCTGGAGTAACTGGTTGTATTATTAAATTGCAATAGTTATTCAGTTTTATTGATAATATTCATACATAACCCTTTCCAGGGCCTCGTATTATAAAGAGTTGCGATTGATCAAAATCAATCGCATGTTTGTAGTCTCCTATCTCTTATGTACACAGTTGCGATTGATATCAATTGCAAATAAGTTGTAATTAATATCAACTGTTTATAAGATGGGGCCCAGCTAATCTTTAATATTGTATTTTATCTGTATGAACCAAGAATTGTAAATAGACAACATTTTTCCAATTTGTCTCCATTATTACGTAATTACAATGTTTAATTTTATGTTTGTTATCTTGCAAATATATGCAATTCAGCTTATCGTGGGGAAAAAATGTTGTCTACTAAACCATTAGGAATTGAATTAAATGAAATATAAAAGAGACAAACTTCTGAGACTCCAAATGACTGTTGCACTTCATTTCCCAGAAAATCTGGATGGTAATCTAGGATTCAATTTACTTATTGGTCACGACACTCTAACATTTCAGTGAATCCATATAGTCTGCTGATATACTACACGTCTTACACAATGGGAATGGAAAAAAGGAATTGGAGAATCCATCCATGCCTAGCAATAGCAACTCATATCAATCTCCCATAGTCTCAAAGAGGGAATCTGATTGTCTTGAATTTATCATGCACGTCGTGTGCCATTGACACATCACAGGAAAGTCTTGGTTTGTTTTCCCAAATTACTTCGCACAGCATGGAGAACGCTGCATGGCACGTACTGCATGGTGTGTAAATGCTGCATGACTGCATGCATACCATTACTAACAGTAGTTTCATATTTGTCAGTGTGCGATCACCTTCTTGTCTTTGTGTATCGGAAATATTAGGATATTAACTAATAGCAATGGAAGATGATCGTTAATGCAGGTTGCAATGTCTTGCAGTTTAAATGTCTTCTGCATCATTCAAACTTTACAATTCATACATATAGTTTCAATGTTGCAAACCCTAATTCATAGATAAAATGTCTTGATATAAAGAAGCACTAATTTTCTGGATTAATAATATAATATTGATGTAAATTGGAATATCAATGACACTTCAACCAAAGATGATTGATAATTGAGAGTGCAGATCTAGTGTCTTGAATTTTAAATCATCTTGCATCATTAAAACCTTTTTCATCAATAAGGTTTCACTGTTGCATCATTTAGAACCTTATTCATAAATAAAGATTCAATGTCATCCTCTACAGAATCTGTCATATACTTGAAATAAATGCATAAGTTTCTGGATTACTAAGATGATATCAACCACACTTTTATGAAATATGATTGATAATGCAGAGTGCAATGTTTTGAATTGTTAAAGTCCTTTGCATCATTCAAACTTAATAATTCATAAATATAGTTTACATTTAAATTTTGAATCATGAGAACCTAATTCATAGATATTCAAATTTGTATTATGAAAATTTTGTTCATGTATATAAGGTTTCATCGCCATACTTAAATAATCTTTGATGTACTTGAACAAAATGGAATATAAAAACATTCCATTTCTAGACTACTAATATTATGGGAGGTAGAAGAAATGCAATGTTGTACACTCTTCACTGTCTAATACACATCTGTTCATGATAGAAGTGGAAAATGTTTCTAGCAACTTCATTTGTGACGTTGAGGTTCATTGAAAAATATATTCATGGAACAATTAGGACCTCGCTTTTGACAGGCGATCCACTCATATTCTCCCTACGAAAATGTGCAAACATAAAGTAGGGTGTACATTGTAAAAGTGCCTAATGGACATGGTACTAGATTTCAATCAATAATGGACTTGCATTGTGATTAATAATATAAAAGCTCCCTTATTGAGGCACTAGCTCACTGATTTGTTATGCACTCAACATTCAATGTCTTGGTCCCCTGTGTATTCAGTCTCCCCCACACAGCTATAATCACTTCATGATTATGCTATTTCTATGGAAACCGTACCTCAAGAGAAATCGTGGGTACAATGACATCACAGCTTTTTATTTCTCTGTCCAACGATCTGGGATGGTATCAAGATTACGTCAGCTCAAGGTAAAAGCAGGACAACACATTCACATGAAGTTAAAAACAGTTTTTAACATAATTAACTGTACAACTTTTTATTGTATACAAATGAATATCTTAATTTTTTTAAGCCACTTAAAGATCACATGGCCTTAAAAAATAAACCTTTTCTGTAACATATCAGTTATACTAATGCATTACTCACATAATAATTATTGCAAATATACAGAGGCATAGCCACGGATGACGAGGCAAAGAAGATGCTACCCCCCCCCCCCTCCAAAAAAAAAGGAAAATACCCCTCAAAAGAAAGGGGGAAATTATAGGAATATATACATGTAAGAAATACATACAAAATTTCATTCATTTCCAAAGAATTTGATTAATCATGGATCCAATTTCCCAGAAATAAATAAATCATATTAGTAAAACTTTACTTCACTCAGTTGACTTATTGGAGCACCAAGTTTCAATGTCTTTTGATCTCTACATATAATTGTAATTTCTGGCCACAAATATATAACATGAAATGAATCCACTCATGATGTCAAATTTAATTGAAATTACCAATTTCATGCTGACATTTTACAGAATTTTCAGTAATTTTACAGGAAAATGAGTTTGACACTTTAAACTCCATAAATCGCCAGATTTAATGTTTTTTTTATTACCAGTATCTTTATACTTACTTGCATAGTAGGATGAGAGAGCCTCATCGGCCCCAGAGTCACTTGATTCGCTGAGCCCTGTAGTAAAACAAACAAAAACAGAACCATTTCATTCATAATGAGCTATTAATTATCGAATGGCAGACTTTACATACCATATGCTTTAGCAAACATTTTCGAACAGTACCCGGATGTACTATCTTCAAAATTGGATCCGACAATATACAATACACATATATATTACAAGGCTTAACACTAGCAGTGGTCTGATGGCCCAGTGCCATCAAACTGCTATGTTGGGCAACCATCTAAAAAAGTAGAGAAGCAACTGCCCAATACCCTTGTCAGGATTACCTAATAATTTTGTTTGTTAATTTCATGAGTTACATTTAAGAGCAGGTCTTGCTTTATTCTCTTGTTCACATAATTTGTAAGTTTATTAGGAAGACAACTAAATACAGATAAATGACAGGAGAGGGGAGAGGTAATAGGCAGAGAAGAAAGATGCAAAGAGGTAGAAAGACAAAGTGAATCGATTGACAGTAATCAAAGAGACAAAGATAGAGAAAATAATCAATTTTTGAGAAGATTGTCATTTGCAAATTTAAGTTTGGAGTACAGGTCACCCTAAAAATCAAAATCAGTAAAATTGAGTTAGCATCAAGCTAAGCCTCAAACGAAAATGCAACACAAGCCCTGACCCTATCTCTGACACCATGTACATGTCTATAATGGACTCTAAAAGCTTGAAAGCAAAGTACAGGAATATGTCAATGGAGTAACAACCTCTCAAACATTCACCTGTCTACATTTTATCATAATAATTCATCCAGATTTATTATAATCATTATTATTATGGTACCAAAGTTCTTGGAAAAATAATATTACTTTTACCAGTATATTTTTAAACAAAACATTAGATGACGTAGTTGAGAATATCAAAAAACACTTTAAATCAAAATATTGTTGTATGAAAACTTGAAAAGTGCACGTTCCAGAGTTCATTCTAAAACAATATAGCACTACATTATTCATATATTTCCTTGGTGCACTTCATCAAGACCGAAGTCCAAGGTTGGAATGTTGTTGTTTTGTGCAATTGTACACATGGAAAAGGATACAATATCATGTGGAGCAACAATACACATACGAACTATTCATTATATGAGTAAAGGATGTTGGGATATCATCATTTGTTTCCTTCTTCTCTTGCCAAAATAAATGATTTTAGTTTGATTTTCATGTCATGAACTTGAGATGGCCCTGTAGAAGGGCAATGGACTCTATAACCAAGGTCCTGGATTTAAAAACAAGGACCTAGTATAAATATGGGTCAGTGCCCTCTGCTAAGGCCTTTAAGGACTTAAGTAAAGTAATCCTAAATGTCCTAGTCCCTAGGATAGGAATTCAAACCATTGGTTCACTGGTTGTTTACTGTAAAACCAGAAAGTTTCATGACATGAAACAAAAACAAATGAAAACCACAACAAAGATCACAGTAAGAAACTGTCATTTATCACAACATTTACACAACTTTGCTGTTGTGATTTCCATTATTTGGCAAAAAAATATATGAAACTTTCAAGATTATTAACACTCAAAGTATAAGCAGGAGAAGTTTATGCTTTCACAATATCTACAATACAAACATATACTATTTTTTTCAGCTATTAACGTCATAAGTAGATTTACTCATTCTTAATGTTAACTAATTTTTTTCTTCAATTATCATTATTATCATTTTCTATTTCATAGTAAACACAACTGATACAATCTTCAGGATAAGCCAAATAGGGAAGATTGGACACATACTCTTTGGATATCATTTAAAAACTGGATGGAAAACCAAAAAAACATGAATACCATTCTAATCAAACAAGTAAGAACTTTTAAAAAGGAACAGGAAGTCAGTCATACATCAATGGCTTACACACAAGTAGTTACCGGTAGGTACATAACTGCATGAAGTCATGAATCAAGGGAAAAGAAAAAGAGCAAACCTGCAGTTCAGACTAAATAAATGATCACTCACCGATAAGAGGGAATTTCCCCAAAATGTTTTTTTCTCATAGATCTACTACTAGACAGGGATCTACTATCAATAACAATAAAAAGTTATGACTTCTATCCTGTTTGGGCAATATTAATGCCTACTAGGATTTATGAAATTAAATAACAGTGCAATACCATCATATCCTGGGTTAAAAGTCCCCAAACTCCACTTTTAGCAAAACGGGCAGGCCGGATTCTAGATTCAACGAATATCAATCGTTTTAACAAACCTGATAAATGTCACTCTTGCAATTTTTTCTAACAACCCATTATGCTGTACCGGTAATCCGGTATTCATCATTTTTGTACGGTGTGAAGCCTGCATATTTCATTCAACTGATTAAAATTACAGAAAGTCAGAAACATATTCATTATTGGAATTGGTTAAAATTCGCTGAAATTGTATTTATACTTGTATTTCTTAATTCTGTATATGTGTACATGCTCATTGTAATTCTACTTTTGTCTATTGTAAATATTGTTTTATTTTTTAATGATCTGTAAAACAATTTCATAACTAAGCCATAGGGCAGTGAAGATGTGTTTTAAATAAATCTTGAATCTATGTTCTAAAATATCAGATACTTGACACATGCATGGCATGGATAAATTTCTTGGAGAAGGAAAGACGAATTCATGGCATCAATCACAGAAAGAGGGAGGGGTCATCGTAGGTCAATACCTGAAACTTTATACTTCCAATCCAATCACAGGGCAAACCCTTTCTTCTTCATTACCAGCTTTTGAGGCAGAGTTCGAGCGAGGAGGCCATGGGCAAGAGGAAAGAAAAGCATTTCTTCTGATTGGGGTGAAACAACATTCAACATGATCCCGGGTTGAACCAACATGATCCCAGATTCCAAGTGTCATCTAGTGTTTTGGCATTCTTCAACAAACGAGACAGACCCCTATGCATGCATCCAGTTTGTATGTTGACTACCATGTCTACAAGTTGCTGCGTCTTACACAAAACTACAATCCGACTACCTAGGCAGAGACTGCATCAGCAGTCACAATTTTGACAGCAAAACCAAATAAAGCAGCCTTCTTTTTATTTTATCTGTCTAAAGATTACGACAACCAGCAAGACACATCTTCCTTCAACATAAGCATTACCTGGGCTAGCTGAAGTACTCATCCATCATCACAGAGCAGGTTATACATAGTTTTGAACGCTGGGATCAACCTGGCTCAAAATCAAGTCCCCTACTCTGAGCAAATCCAATATGATCCAACATGACGGGAACCATACCACTCTAATCTTCACACTTCCAGTGTATAGAGGCGTCTTGGGTCAACTGGCAAAAGAAACTTGGCAGGGATGCACAGGTCATGGGTTCAATCCCCGGCATGACACCAATGTAAATGGCAAGACATTCAGGCTTCATCTGACACTCTTGAAATGGGTGCAGTAGGTTGGTATGGCCTTTACCCTAATTGAAATCTACTTGCATTGATAATGGTTGCTGGAGTTATATTAAAAGCCAGGGTAATAATTGTCCGAACTTTGACAGGAGATCACAGTTTCGTGACACAAATGTCATCGCCTGAAGGGAAAGACGTTAACCCTATCTGTCTCTCTTGACCCAGGTGTTGGTCAGGACGTAGTACCTGGTAGGACTCATTCCTTCAAATGTACTTGGCACTGGTAATGGTTGCTGGAGCTAAAGCCTGGGCAATCATTTAAACAAATCTATTTGGAAAGTAAATGTCATACAAGACCAAAATGTATACAGGTGCCTGGACCAGACCCCAATAAAAAATTATATGGCACCCTGTGTTAAACAGGTACCATGAAGTGTGAACCTGAATATTTTTTTGCTGAAGGGAGGGAGGAGGGGGGGGGGGCTCATCAATAAGAGGCTTTTATAGCTTTTATCTGTGACAAGTCTCCTGTGTCATGATATTTTCATGTTCATGGAAATATTATGTCAAGTGCATAACAAACAAGACTTGAACTGTATAAACACACCAAGGCCAATATTAAAGAGGAAATGGTCGTCCATATTGCCACAAAATTATTTACAATGCACTTAATGAACCACAGCCTATTTGTACAAAACAAAGATGTGCAGCTGTGAGTGACATGCTATCTACATTGTATCTCAAATTTAAGCTTCTGCAGATCAATATAATTAAAAAACTCACAAGAACTTTATAAAATATCACGGAAATCGATCAATCTTCAAGCAGGGGGTGGGGTTGTATAGATAGGGACAAATGCATCTCAGGTAAATACCCAAGTGGATGCAGAGTGAATTTCAAAAAATATTGGTCGAGGGGCAACTGCCCCATAGCTGCCCCCCCCCCCCACATTAACTTCTCTGACTCACAAAAGAAACATTACTCTGTTAAGGAGCGCTTGGGATACACCATTACTGCTCCAATGATACATGTACTTGTTCAACGTATCTAACCTCCTTATATACTTCACATACTACACAATATAGTAAATTACAGAGAAAAATAATATCAAATATCCCAAATTGATGAAATGTATCTCACCAGGAGTCCCCTTGGTACCTGACCCGGTTACTAACCTCTTTCTTGTTTGCCCCATCATCCATCGCCCTGGCAACAACTGATGCCTGCACAAGAGCGGCTTAGGAAATGGCTACGCAAGAAGGACCGATAAGATATTGTGCGTCATCAAAATCATCATAAGTCTTTTTTTTCTTCAAATCTGACAGATTTTCAAGACATATAAATCTGAGAGGGATAAGCATTGCTTTTTTCCCTTTTCCCTTTAGGGCATTAATTTCGAATTCTTAACTGCAAAACAGCAGAAAACCATGATATGTTTTTTTTATTTGATAAACACTGTTATCCGTTTACTAGTGTATCACTCCATATTGCACTTCAATTTTGATATTTGTTCTAATCTGTCAGATTTCCAAGACAGATAAATGCAAGAGGGATAACTGTTGCTCTTTTCTCTTCTCTTTGTTAATGCAAAACAGCAGAAATGTACTATGATATCAGTTTAATAAACACTTTAATCTTTTACTAAGAACCACAAAATGTTG